AACCATAACTACCAGAAAATTGAACTGTATGGAAGTCTGACAACCAAGGAGTTAAAGAAGAAATATTCATCCAGACTGGTAAGAGTGGTAGAGACAGGCAGCCGGCTGGAGAGGACTCTCAGCAAGGCAACAGCTGGAGGACTGGGTGAGGTGGCATTTGGCAGACAGGGTGGTCCCACATTTGCATGCGGATAAACCCGGAGGAACAACTGGGGAGTGAGACAGACTGCAACTGAGGGTTCCAGTTCCAAGAAATAAAGCCTCAAAGCCCCCAACAGGAGAGTTCCTTGGGGAGACCCACAAGGTCCCAGAACGTACACAAACCTACTCACCTGGGAATCAGCATCAGAAGGGTCCAATTTCATTGTGGGTAGCTGGGGAAGTGACTGAAAACCAGCAGAGAGGACTTCCGCCAAGATGGAGGCATAGGTGGATGTGCCGTGCCTTCTCACACAACCAAGATTAGAGAAAACTAAATATTAGCAACAGAAAACACAGCCAGAACACGGAAAATTGAACTTTTTGGGAGTCCGTTAACAACAAATTCTTCAGCCTGACTGGTAAGGGGCGAAACCAGCGGCTGGCGGAGCAGGGTTGCACAGGAGGACTCGGTCCCCACCACGGCAAGCGGCAGTGGAGGGCTCTGCCATTTCCCTGCTCTGACCCCACCTCCACATACAGCGTCATAACCCAGCGACTCTGAGTGGCCCGGCCCAGGTGAACCACCTCAGGCACTGTTCCTCCGCACCCAGCTGTGAGAAGCGGCAGAGGGGGTCGCCATTTCCCCGCTCTGGCCACGCCCCCACATACAGCGTCACAACCCAGCGACCTGGGAATCTAAGGCGCCGCTTCTCACACTTAAAGGGCCCGAACAGACCAAGAATGGCGCAGGAGGATCTCAGAGCCCCAGAGCCAATAGATCTAAGCGATGAAGAAATAGCAAAACTCACAGACGCACAGTTTAAAACATTGGTGATCAGGATCCTCACAGAACTGGTTGATTATACCGACAAATTAGACAAATATATGAAGGCGAAACTAATTGAAATGAATGGAATTGCACAGGACACCAATAGCAATGAAAAGGAAACTGGGTCTCAAATCAATGGAGTGGACCAGAAGAAAGCAAATAATGGCCAAACAGAAAAGAGTGAAGAAGTAAGAATTCAAAGAAATGAGGAGAGTCTTAGGAACCTCCAGGACATCTTTAAACGCTCCAACATCCGAATTATAGGGGTACCAGAAGGGGGAAAGGCACAGCCACCAGTGGAAAACTTATTTGAACAAATAATAAAGGAGAATTTCCCCAATCTGGCAAAGGAAATAGACTTCCAGGAAATCCAGGAAGCTCAGAGAGTCCCAAAGAAGTTGGACCCAAGAAGGAACACACCAAGGCACATCGTAATTACATTAGCCAAGATTAAAATGAAGGAGAGAATCCTAGAAGCAGCAAGAGCTAAGGGGACAGTCACCTACAAAGGAGTCCCCATCAGACTGTCAGCTGATTTCTCAAAAGAGACCTTACAGGCAAGAAGGGGCTGGAAAGAGGTATTCCAAGTCATGAAATCCAAACACCTACAACCAAGATTGCTCTATCCAGCAAAACTTTCATTTAAAATGGAAGGACAGATAAAGCGCTTCTCAGATAAGTTCAAATTCAAGGAGTTCATCATCACCAAGCCCTTATTATATGAAATGTTAAAGGGACTTATCTAAGAAAAAGAAGTTAAAGAAACATGAACAGTGAAAGGACAACAAACTCACAGTTATTAACAACCACACCTAAAATGAAAGCAAACTAAAAGGACAGCTAGATCAGGAGTGGAAACATAGAAATGAAGATCTCAAGGAGGGTTAGCAACAGGGGAGTGGGAGGAGGAGAAGGGGGGAGAAGGTACAGAAAACAAGTAGCATAGACAGTAGATAGAAAATAGATGGGGGGGCAAGAATAGCTTGGGAAATATAGAATCTAAAGGACTTGAGACACATGGTCATAAACTAAAGGGGGGGTAATGGTGGGGATGAGGGGTAGGGTGGAGGGGAATAAAGGGGGAATAGAACAACTGTAACAGCATAATCAATAAAAAAATAAAAAATAAATAAAAAAAAGAAAAAAAAATAAAGAAAAGAGAAAAAAAAAAGCAGCAAGAGAAAAGGAGACAATTACCCACAAAGAAGTTCCCATAAGACTATCAGCTGATTTCTCAAAAGAAACCTTACAGGCAAGAAGGGGCTGGAAAGAAGTATTCCAAGTCATGAAAGGCAAGGCCCTACATGTGTGATTACTCTATTCAGCAAAGCTATCATTTATAGTAGAAGGACAGATAAAGTGCTTCCCAGATAAGGTCAAGTTAAAGGAGTTCATTGTCACCCAGCCCTTATTATAGGAACTGTTAAAGGAACATATCTAAGAAAAATAAGACAAAAATATGAACAGCAAAATGACAACAAACTCATAGCTATTAACAACTGAATCTAAAAAAACAAAAAACAAACTAAGCAAACAAGTAGTACAGTAACAGAATCATAGAAATGAGAACACATGGAGGGTTATCAGTGGGGGAGTGGGAGGGGGAGAGAGGGAGAAAAGGAATGGAGAATAAGTAGCATAAATGGTAGGTAGAAAACAGACAGGGGGAGATTAAGAATGGTATAGGAAATGTAGAAGCCAAAGCACTTATATGTGCAACCCGTACACTTGAACTAAAGTTGGGAAATGCATGTGGGAGGGGGGTGTACAGGGCAGAGGGGAATAAAGGGGGGGGGGAAATGGGACAACTGTAATAGCATAATCAATAAAATATATTCAAAATGTGTGAAACTCCTAAACTGGAATAAGGCAGAGCACCCAATAGTCTCCAGACTCACTGAATAGACATTTTATTTGGTTCCTGTCCCTGACGGGAGCCTCTGAGGACACTCCCTGCTCTTTCCAGCCTGGTGTCATGAGAAGTGAGTTTGTCTCAGGAGACAGACTTCTGGGCTCTGGCAAAGTCTGGAACAATGATTGCTGTCAGTCCTTCTCGCTTTAAGTGGATTTACAAATGGAACTGCAAGCTGGGGAGCATGGGGATATACCCTGGCACTGCCACTAACTTACTGGGTGACCCCAGGCAAGTCTCTTTTCTCCCTTTTGGGGCTGCCCATTTGGAAAATGAGAACAATAGGCTAGAGGATCCAAAGAGCCTGTGGTAGGGGAATAATGGTTCCCAAAGATGTCCACACCCTAATTCGGGAACCCGTGAATGTTACTTCATATGGTAAAATAGACTTTGAATGTGATGAAGTTAATAACCTTGAGATGCCCTGGATTATCGGGTGGGCATAGTCTAATGGCAAGGTCCTTGACAAATGGAAGAGGGAAGCAGGAGAGGATCTGAGTTAGAGGGAGATATGACTACAGGACATTGTTATATGATGTGAGAGGGATTTGACCTGCCATTGCTGGCTTTGACAGAAGAGGAAGAAGCCATGAGCGGAGGAAGGTGGGTGGCCTCTAGAATCTGTAAAGGGGAGGAAAGGCTGCCTCCCTTAGAGCTGTCGGGAGGGACCCAGCCCTCCTGACTCATTGATGTTAGCCCAGGGAGACTGGTGCCAGATGTCTGGCCTCCAGTATTATAAGATAATATGTGAGTAGATGTGTTGTTTGAAGCCAGTAAATCTGTCATAATTTGTTATGGGGAGGCAATAGGAAATGAGAACAGTGCTCCTTCCTGCAACTTTTCATTGTTTTTAAGAATTTGAACTCAGATTTGCCAACAGGCTAGGGCAACCTCAGCTGAGAGGAGACATCACAGGGACTTTGGTCCAAACTGCCTCCTGGTTGTCCCTGGTGTTGCCACCTCCCAGCCATCGATTGTACATGAGTGTGGCTGGTTTGACTTGTCCCACTGGGCAGTGGAGGAGTGCTGTCATAGCACCCTGAGCCTGAAGGGACTTCTAGAGGTCATCTGTGAAGACATAGGTAAGGCGTTGTATTATCTTTATTCTCACACTAAAGGAATTGAGCCCAAAAGGTGTAGGGTCTCATCCATTGCCAGGCAGCTCCTGAGAGATGAAGTCATGGGACTGGACTCCTAATTCTTGATGTGGGGCTCTTTTCAACTAGTCACATTGAGGATATACCTCTCCCTTGTTTTAGCGGGTTAGGTAGGAGAGAGAGAGGGAGGGAGAGAGAGAGAGAGAGAGGTCAGAACCTCAGACCTCTGGTCTAGCCAGTGCCTCTGTGCATCTGTGCATGGGTGGAAGGCACAAACCACAAGTAACCTGTCTTCCCAGCTTTAGGGGAGACTCTGAGTTGGGAGTGATGGGGGGAAAATCTGTCCCTATGGAATTAGCACGGTGCCTTGAGGAATCTGCCTGATTCTGCCTGAACAGCAAACTCTCTTTTGCCACAGAGGAGCTTGAAAAAGCAGGTCCCCCCACCCCCAAAGGCACCTCCCACTTCCTTTTCCATCTGGACATCTTCTCAGGTGTCATGGGGAGCAAGGCAGAATGCAAATGTGACCCCTGCAGGGACAAGCTGGTCTGTTTGACAGGGTGAAGGAGGGAGATGCAGAGAGGGTGCTGAAGCTGTGGTGTGTGAGAGGGAGGCCACGCAGGGGCCTGTATCCAGCCCAAGTTCACTGAAGGGGTCAGGAGGAGTCAGGACACAGATGGAAGAGCAGAGGGGTGTGAAGGCCTCCTTTCTGGTTTTCAGGTCTGGGCAGGTCTCTACCTCCCCTTTTTCAGACCATGGTCTGGGCAGTGTCATTCGGACTGTGGACTGCAACCTGTCAATGGGTCATGAAGTCATTTACAAGGCTGCGATCAATAGTTTATACAGATTGAGAATAGACTATAGCGTGTGCACATTTTGTAAAGGTGAGTGTTGTTGCATAAAACTTTGTATAATCTGTGTTTTTTTGACCTGAGTGGTCTGGCTTTTTCTGAAGCCCTTGGGGAGAGAGGTGTGCAGGTGTGGGGAGGCAGAACACCCAGCCGCTTCCACAAGACCAGCTTTTAATGTGACCATGAGTGGAAGCACGAATAAATAAATGCCGGGGAGATGGAAAAACCAACCAAACCTCAGAACATCAAACCCAAACATCAGGAAACGAAACGGATCTCTGACAGACAATAAAAGCCCCCCAAAGAAACAGAGTCGGACCGTACAAGCCATGTCACAGGGAGGCAGGACGATGTGGGCACCGTGAATGAGTGCTGGAGCCACCCAGGCCACCACGGGCGCTGGGACGGGAGAGGGTGGCCCCAGGCGCCCCATGGGCCAGCTCGGGGTGGGCAGGGGGCTGTGTGGGCAGGTTGAGAACCTTCACAAACTACACAAGGACCTGACGTAGTCAACAGTTCTGCGGTCTCCCCTTCGACTGTGCGGCTGTGATTCCAGCGAGGTCTCTTGGTGACTCTGGGGCTGGGACCCAGCCCTTCCACACAGCTGCAGAGTGGCCGTGGGAGGCCACACATGGAGGGCTGTCTTGTACAGAGGCAGACGTGGTGGCGGCGCCGTGAGAGGTCTGGGCATGCAGGTGCTTTATACATCTGGCAGTGAGGTGTGATGGCAGGTTGGTTCGTGACGGTTCCCGAGTGTGACTCATTTCTCCTACGGGGGACGCACGGCGGGGGCCGAGGAGGCGTCGCATCAGACAGGGCCATAGCGAGGTTTTGGCAGAGAGTTTGCTACGTGTGCATAGGGGCTCTTGCTTCTTTCTGTCATCAGGGGCCATCCCGCCCGTGGTCTCCTGTCCCGGGTCTTGGGCCTCAAGGTCTGTCTGTGGTGTGCTGGCGGTCCGAGGGCTGTCAGCAGGCAATCTCCTCCAGGGTCCCCAAGGCTGTCTGCAGGGGCACGTTCACAGTGTGGCTGATGGTTTCGGAGTGGTTTGGCATCGTCTCACAAGTGCTCTGGAGGGGAGAAGAAGGTGGGTGTTTATATTAAAAAATTCATCAGGTGCCCCTGGCAGCCTCAGGGACCCTGCTCCTCCCCTGTGGGCTCCCCCAGGGCACCGCTGCTCCTGCCTCAGACACCCCATGCACCCCGTGGTTTGCCATCTCAGGCCTGAGGCTGAACAGGCCACCTGCCTTCAGAATGCGCACCTTTTCCCACCCAGGTGCTCCTCATCCTGGGCAGGAAAGGGCTCTCTGGTGATGGGGTTTAGCAGCTGACTTGACCTGTTCTCCCAGAGGTCCCCTGATGTACCACTGGAAGCTACATCTGAGTGATGTCTAGCTTTACTGGGACTGGATAGCCCATCCTATCCTTGTCCTCAGGGGGCCCCCTTGGGACCTACCTGGGGTGAGGAGGGGTAGCCTGTGGCTAGGCCTGGGGCAGGGGGTGCCGTTGCTGAGACCAAGCTGCAAGGGCGGAGGCCTTCAGCAGCCAGAACCAGAGCTGGTCACAGCTGCCCAAAGGACCTTTGGGCTTAGCCTGGCCACAGGGAAACATCATCCTGCATCTCCGAGCAGGGTGTGGCTGAGATGGCTGTGCCTCTGAGGAGGTTCCTAGGCTGTCCTGGGCTGCTGCAGTGGGGGAGGCTGGGAGGGATGGGAGTGGACAGACTGGGAGGCTGTGTCAAGACTTTGGAGAGATTTGATGAGGACGATACTGGGGGAGAGGGCAGGTGTGGAGGGGGAACCTATGACTGAGACCTTCTGAAGGCAGGAGAGAAGGTAGGGTTGGGGAAGGAGCCTGCACTTGCTGAGCCTGAACTACTGTTTAGTTATATTTGAAATATATTTCAATTATATTTGAAACCAGGCAATGCTGATGTCTTTACAGGCGGGTCTCACTTCATCTGAATGTCAGCCCTCACTGTGATGAGGCAGATGCTCAGGGAGATAGTAGTTGTCCCCAGGCACACAGCTAAGAAGCGGGGACCTGGGACCCATGCTCAGCTCAGTCCAGAGCCTGGGCCCCTCCCACTCTGCCCCTTCTCAACAGTAGCAGTCTCTGCTCACAGAGGCTGCAGGAGCCTGAGAGAATCAGTGTGAGATGTCAGGCCTGGGTGATGGGAAGGGCAGTGGTGTCTGGAGCAGAACCGGGAGCCAGGGACACCTGCACCCGATAGCCGAGGGCAGAGCCCAGGAGTGACTGGGTCTGGGGAGGAGATGGACAGCCGTGTGAGGGCTACCCCTCCGGCTCCGGGAGAGCGAGGTAGAGCAGAACAGCGGTTAGGGGAGCTCTGTGTCCAGTTCCGATGTCACCAGCAGTGTGACCTGGCCTCTGGACCCCAACTGCCTCAAGTATAAAATGGAGATAAAAATAGACCTCTCTCTTTGGTGACCGCATGGCTGAAATGACCTGGTGCTCTTGAGGTACGTAGTGCGCCTCTGACCGTGTGCAGGAGTACGGTGGCAGTCAGTGGTGATGGGGGTTCTGCTGCTCCAGGCATCACAGGGCCCCGCACCCTGTGTCTCCCTCAAATGGAGTAGAGCACCAGGGAGCTCCCTGCTCACAGTTTGCCACCCCAGGGAATAAAGGAACAGATCTACACTGAGCATCTCTGGTTCTCCCACAGCCATAAAATGGGAGTGGCCTCCTGGCCTGGGAGAAGCTGGACTGGGCCAAGCAGGACCAATCCTTGGAAGCATCTCCTGGTATCCACTGCATCCATACCTTACTGTCAGGCTTTGGGACCAGTCTCAGAGAGAGGCCCAAAGTAAAGTCTTGGGTCTGGGAGCTGACAGGGTGGCACATCCATGGGAAGGTGGATGCCGAGGCATGCCCCTCCTGCTCTGGCCCCAGTATCTGCTTTCCTGTCGTCTGTACAAACCAGAGAGGCAAATCGACCTACAGCCCACAAGCTGCTCTTACCACATTCTCGTCGTGGCTCCCTTCATCCTCCTCTTTGCCAAGTAGGTCTAATAGCTTCTCTTTGATCAGCTGCAAGAAAGGCAGGGAGCAAGGGGTCAGGCTGAGGGGATGGTGAAAAGACAGCGAGACCTCTCTTCGTCTGGCTCAGCTGGGGAACCATAGCAGTGACAGTAACCTGGGCTGTGGCTGGATGAACTGTGGCAGGGGTCCCGCCTGGCAGCCAGCCGTAGGAGCCCCTGCCTGATCTTTGGGCTGCATTGGGATTATGGTGCCAGAGCTTGGGCTTGGAAGGAGGGCCTCGTCTTGCAGTGTGGACCGCCTTCCCCGGTGGCTGGGGAGTGTGGATAAGTGGTTTGTGTTGGCATGGCTGGGCCCCTGCCTGCCCTCAGGAGCAGCCTGGGAGCAGCCTTTCTGAGGCTGGGCCCGGGGGACAAGATTGCTAATAACTTTCCGGGCCTGTCAATGTCATAGTTCACAAGATCAGGGCTTGAGGTTGGAACATTTTATTGTTAGCAGTAAAGGGTAGTGGTTAAATATGTTACCTAGTGCTATTCGACTTCCCTAACTTTGTACAGCTTCTCACAAACACTAACAAAAGAAACAGAATAAAATCTGGCCATGGGACATGGTTTGGGTTTGGGGAACAAGGTCACCATGCTGAGAGGCAGGGTATGGGACTCCAGGGAGAAAGGGGCCCTCCAGCCCCACAGTGAGCAAACTCTGGCCATCGCCAGCCCTCTCTGGGAGGCAGACCCTGCTCATGGGCCCTGTTTGCTGGGCCGAGACTCAGTGGTCCTGGGCCTGTGCAGGCCTGGGCATGCCCAAGGCCTTCTGGAGCCCCTGGAGTAGCTGGGTCTGGGGAGATATGGGCAGGAAGGCTGACAAGCCCCAGGTGCTCCCAATCCTAGAAGCTGCCCTCACTGAGAAGCTTCCAGGAGCTTCATCCTGGCTGCCCCTTAAGGGAGACATCTCCTCAGACTGTTGGCAGCCAGAAGCAGCAGGTGCACCCTTGCTCTTCTCAGGACTGAGAAAGCTTGCTGGGAAATGCCCCTCACCTCAATCTGCCTTGAACACAAAGGTACCACTCAGGTGACCGGCCACCCAGAGGGCAGGTGTGTGTGTGTGTGTGTGTGTGTGTGTGTGTGGTATATTCATGTACATATGTTATGTGCATTTATATGAGTAGTATGTGTGAGTGTGGTACAAGTGTGTGTGTGGTGTGAATGTGTGCATGCATTATGAAAGTGTGGGCACAGACACTCCCATGTGTGAGTTGCCACGTCCAGGCTTGCCATGGGAGGGGCTCAGAGCTGGCTTCAGGCCAGTCTCCTCTCCTCCTCGTCGCTTCTCCTCCCTCCGTGCTGGTGTAGACAGCCCACTGCTTTTCCCCCTGTAGGACCATGGCTTCGTCCCCCTTGCATCCATCCCTTCCCCATGCCTAGGACGTGGTGAGAGACGATATTGATGGACAGGGAGGAGAGAGCAGGCTCTGGCGGACAGAAGCTGTCTTCTCCCCCAGGCTTTGATTCTGGATGGTGAGGTAGGATGAGGGACCCGCACATGGTCATTTCCCCATGAGTAATCCCAAGTCTTACCTCATAAATATAATCAAAGAGCTCTAGTATTGTGAGGATACTAGCACCAATAAACAACCCCATCTGGCCACCAATATCACCTGGAGAGAGACAGAAAAGACCAAAGGTTTGGCTTTACTCATAACACAACTAGGAAGGGGCAAACAGACCAAGAACTCAGAAACCAGACCTTCTAAATGGCTCCCCTCCAAGGGGAGCCTGGGCTTGTAATGGAAAGGCCAGGCCTTTGACAAGTCCCTCCCTGAGCACACAGCTCTGAGAGCTGATGGTCTGCAGCACCCAGTGAGGATGGGAGCCAACCTGAATGCTTAATGGAGGCTTCTAGAATAGACCTCATAGGTTAACAGGGTTGCCAATTATATTTGAAACCACACTGACTGGGCCTTGTTTTGGCTCTGGCTGGAACTAGAGATAAGACATGTGTGGTCCTTGCCCTGGTCAAGGGAACAGTCTAGCCTGAGGCACACCTGTCAGGTGTCTTGGGTGTCTAGAGCAGTGTCATAAGAGGCTTCCACTTACTTTCAATCATGACACGGCCTTGGGGGCCACCTTGGGGTGCCATTCCCACTTGGGATGAGGCCATTGCCAGCAGCTCCTATCTCCCTTACCGGAAAGTAAATACTCTTTTGGTCTCTTTCTAGAGCAGAGGTTCTCACCCTGGGGTGGATAGGCCCCCTTGACCCAAGTTATTCCAGACTGGTCTTCAGATCCCCCTGCATCCAACCTCTGGGAGACTTGTCATCAGTATGGATGCCTAGACCTACCCTGGGCCTACAAAACCAGAATCTCTGGGGTGGAGGTCTGGAAGTTAGGATTTATAAGTTCCCCAGGTGGTCCTTGGGCCCACCAAGTTTGAAAGCCACTCTCCTGTGGGAGCTTCAGATGCTCGGAGACCTCCTGAATCGGAGGGAAAGCACCGTGTATGTGCACCTGGGCATTTGTAGTGGAAGAGCTCATATTTGAGAAGCTACTGTCCGATTCTCCAAGGGGTAGTGATCCCCCAGAAGCCCTAGGCTTTTGCCCTACTGTTCTTGGGGATCCAGGCTTGGAGTAGCCACCAGTTTGCTGTGTGGCTTTGATAAGTCCTGACCTCTCAGTAGCTTTGCCTCAAAGGACCCTAAATGGTGGAGGTCGTTGAGAGGGGGGCTGGAGGCCTTGGGCCACAAAGTCCTTTCCAGCTGTGTGACTGGGCTGGGGAGAGTGCTGGGAATGGGGGGTGCGGGTGGAGGTGGGCTGCAGTCCTCCTGGAGATTCGGGGCTGACCTCTTGGTCTGAGAACTTTCTGATGGGTGCCTCTGCCCACTTCTACCCTGATGATAACTGGGAGCAGCCCACAACCCCCTCCTGAACAAGCCGAGGTCATAGGGAGGGGTTCTTCCTGGCGGGACTTGGTCCTGGGCTCAGAAAGGCTCCCTTCATTCCTGTCTTCCCTCTGCTCACTCCAGTGTCCTCAGTGGAGGTTTACTGGGGAGTGTGCACTTATGTGTGTACATGTCAGGTGTGAGTGTGTTTGTATGTGCATGAAGTGTGCCTGAGTGTGGGTATGTGCCTGGGTGCTGTGTGTGTGCACTGTCTGTGTAGAAATAGGCAGTGCATCTGGCTATTGATGGCTTTATGTGGGTGGTTCTTTATGTGTGGGGCCGGTGCACAGCATATGTGTGTGCGTGTGCTTTGTGGAGGTGGGCACAGTGTGTCTGTGTGTGTGTAGCATGAGGGAGCTTGCGTGGGTGTGAGTGTGTTTGTGTGAAGGGGTGGTTGAACATGAAGAGTGTGTGAGTCTGCAGGCATGCAGTGCGTGTGCAGGCGGGTCTGTGCAGGTGCTCACTCGTGTGTGTGGCTTATTGTGGTGTGTGTGTGGCGTCGGGGTGTGTGTGCACTGAGGGAGGGTGTGGGCCATGTGGCAGTGAGAGCAGGGTGTGGCTGGGACCGGTGGCTGAGGGTTCACAAGTGCCTCTTGTCACGAGGCCACAGATGGCAGCGTGCTTTTCCGAGCGGGCTATTCTGGGCGGCAGCGAGACGCTGGAGAGCCGTCCCTCCTGACAGATTCAGAGCCCAGGCCCTCCCTGCTCTGTGCACGCGTGTGTGTATGAGTGTGACTGTGAGCTCATGTGGGGAGTGGGGCGACAGGAGGGAGGAGGGATGTCCTGAGTCCTCTCCAGGAAATAAAGGTGGCAAGAGCAGGTGAGAGGCCTGCTTTTCCAGTGCATGGCCACTACCTTGGGCCCAGGGCACAAGTGCCTAAGTTTTGTCCCTTTTGGCCACAAGGGCCCCAGAGGCCTGAGTGACAGCCACCTTAACCTAGCTGGCACCCAGCTGTGGCCCAGCCCCCAGCCTCCAGTAGGAGGTGCAGGAAGGCCCAGATGGTGCCTTGAAACACCAGCTGGGTCCTGGGCCTCTGGCGTGGAGACTGTCCTGGTACCAGAAATGACTATTCGTGGACCTTCTGGGAGCTGGGGCTTTATCACATTTAACTGCCACAACCAACACACAAAGCAGGTTTTATTAGACCCATTTTGCAGATGAGTGAGCTGAGGGCCAGTGAGGAGAAGCCACTTGCCGACATTCTATAGCTGGTCTTTCCTTTATACTTGCAGGTAGAAGGTGCCTGTTCCCTGCCGCCTCCTCACCATTCTCACCTGGTTCAGCTCCCAGAGGCAACAGCAGCTACACTTCTTTGCAGATCCTTTCCTGGGAGTGGGTGGGAGTTGGGAGGAGGGCAAGGGGCAGGTCTTCCAACTGTCCCTCCTCGGGCATCTTGTGAATTTTGTGTTGAGCTGGGGCAGGGTCAAAATGAACTTCCTGCCTCCATTATGTGCCTATGGGACCGGGACTAGGGGGGCAGTCAGGTTTATAGATATCTGGGGACAAGAGAGGTCACCAAGTCTTCTCAATGTAGCAACGTTGCTTTCCAGGAGGGGGCTCCACTGGGGACCAGCCACAGCTCAGCCTTCCCTGGGCCTGATGGCTCTCTGTTCCTGCCACAGCCCCAAGGCCCTGACTCCACCCTGGGGGCAGAAGACCATGGACTCTAACAGGGCAGCTCTGGAAAGGCCCTTCAGTCCTTCAGCCCACCTGCCTCTGTGTGTTGATAGGGAAACTGAGGCAGAGACTGCAGCATGAACTGGCCTAACACCTGCACCCCACTGAAGTTCTTCCCATTCTGGGACAGGAGTAGGGCAAGGATAGAGGGAACGGTCAGTGAGCATAAAGGCCAGACTCATCGGAGGCTCCTATATCTCCACCTGCCTGCCTGCCGGCCACCCGCCGTGCCTACTCTCTCTCACCTCCCGTGAGATGTGGACATTTGTGCAGCGGACACTCCAACTTACCAAGTAAGGCAGCAACTTCATACGCCTTCTTTTGTTCAATTGTCTCGTAATTGAGAGCCTCAAAAAATATATCCAGCACGAGGATGTTCTCTCTGCAGAGGGAATGTTCAGTACCACACATGGGTAGAACCACAGCATCCACAGGGGCCATCTAACACAGTGTTCCCTGGGCCAGGTGGAGAAACTGAGGCCCCGGGAAGTGAGACGACTGGCTCCAAGTGTGAGCTGATTAGTGGCAGAGCAGGGACTCGAAACCAGGAGTCCGGACTCCCAGCCCAGTGCCCCTCACGGGACGGGAGACATGCAGCAGCGGCTCCCTTGGCCCCAAGTCCTCTCCCCCCACTCTCTGTGCACTGCGCAGGAGTCTGCCTGCCCCGCAGTTTCTTGGGCCTCCAAAGGGTCTGCCTGGTCCTTACCTGCAGGGGAGCTCAGGAGTCTCTTTTACTTATTTATTTGGATTTTTTAGGTTGAGTTTATTGGGGTGATATCGGTCCACAGCACCATACAGGTTTTAAGTGTACAACTCAAAAGACAACCTCTGGACACTGCGTCATGTGCCCATTGCCCAAAGCAAAGTCCCCGAGTCCCCATGAGTCCCCTCTTAGCCCACCTCCACCCACGCCCAGGGCTCTCCAAAGCCAATCACTCCTCCCTGCCCCTAACAGCTGTTGGTCTGCTCCACGCATCCATGCCTCCGTCTCTATTTTGTTCGTCATTTAATTTTGTTCACGAGATTCATTAGATAACAAGATCTCACTCAGCTCTTGGTGAGGCTTGTCTGCCCCAGGTGACCTCCCTCACCCACTCCTGACAGTCCCCGGAGTTCCTGCTGGCCTTGACAACAAGCTTCTGCTAGCAGGGGGCTGCGCCCTGGCATTGCCAAGTCAGCTGCCAGAACCAGAGTGGCATTTTAGGGTGGAAACCTATGTCTGGCTGGGCTTGGGGTTCTGGCAGAAGCACTTGGGTTCCCTTTTGTTCCTTTAGGCAGCTGTGTTAATGAGACACATCTCGGCAGGGGGGGTCATTGCTGCCGGCAAATGCCTGCTAAGCGGCAGGACCTGGCACCTGCTGCCATCCAGCTCCTTCACTGTGGCTGACGATGCCCTCAATGCCTCCACCCTCACCCCACTGAACACAAGCAGTCGGGTGTGTAGACTCTAGCCCCAGGCTGGGCTTTGGCGGCTGTGTTGGCAGGAGGGGGTGGCTGGGGAGACGGGAGCAGACCCCCTCTCTCCCTGCAGGACTCTCCGAGGTGCCATTCCAAGTGCCCCCATCTCTTGCCTGGTTTATGGCAACTACTCCTAACAGGTTCCCTTCTTCCCATTTGGCTTCATCGGTCCTCTAAACTGCTTCCCAAAGGGTCTTTCTAAAACTGCTAAACTAATTCAAATTAAATAAAATTACAATTGAGTTCCCGAGTTGCTTAAGCTACTTTTAAAATGCTCAGTAGCTGTGTGTGGCCGGGGGTTACCATGTTAAACACCACAGATATAGAACATTTCTGTAGAATCACAGAAAGTTCTGTTGAAGAGCAGAGATCTAAAATACAAACTTGAGCCTGCCACTCATCTACCTGCAGCTCTGGCGTGGCTCCCTATTTTTTTTAGGATGAAATCCACTTCCTGCTCGCCCCTGAACCCCTGCCTCACACCCAGCTGGGACCCTGTTGCTCAGACCCAGCCACTGGGTCCAGCTTTTGCTTGCAGTTCTTCTGTCTGTCCTGCACTGATCCCTCTGTGGAGCTCCTGCCTGGGCTGCCCTCTTCTCCCATGTCTTTCATTCGTTTATTCTGTTAAAAGGTATGTTTTGAGCATCAGGCCTGTGCCAGACATTCCATAGCAGAGAACCAAAAAGAAAGGTTCCTGCCTTCAGGGAGCTCTCAATCTAGTGAGTCAGGCAGGTGGTACACACACACACACACACACACACACACACACACACACACACACACATGAATGTAGAATGACATAGCGCATGAGTGTTATAAAGAAAGACATGAGTGCTTTGGGAAAAAATAATGGGAGGGGGTCTAATTTAGCAGTCAGAGGAGATGGCATTTAAATGAGGACCTGCATAATGAAGGACTGGTTAGGGGAAGAGTGAGAGGAAAAGCATTCTTGGGGGAGGGAACAGAATGTGCAAGTCCTGCCTGGAAAACTCCTTTGCGTTATTAAAAAAAATTCTGATGCTTTCCTTGACCACGTCCTCATGCAAGGTGCAGCCATCCATCTTCCCATGTCCTTATTGCCTGTTCAGCCTGGGTAGCATTCAGTTGTACACTTGTCACCCCACAAAACTATAAGCTCCTTAAAGGCAGGGGCTGTATCTTAGTCCTCTTTGTTTTCATATTCTGAGAGCTGAGCATAGTGCCCAGCACATAGTAGGTGCCCAGTTAAAGTCTGCCAAGTGAAACTAACTGCGTACCTTTGCCCTTTGCCTTCTCCCTCAATTGCCCCCCAATTTCCTCCTGATCCGTATGCCCCTCCCTACTCCCCACGTGTTCCCTGAGCTTACGAGATATATTTTTCTGATTTGTTAAATTTCTTCTCGAGGTACTTGGCTGAGGTCTTGCTGGGGATCTTCACCATGGAGAGCTCTTTGTTGTAGCGGGTCAGGTTGCAGGGTGTCCTGCAGAGACAGTAATTACTGTCCTTTTCTGCCAGCAGACCTGCAGAGGAGAGGGAGGTGGGGCTCAGCCAGGTGTGGGGACTGGGATCCCTGGGCGCAGAGTGGCCTGCCCAGCAGCAGAGAGGGGAGCAGGGAAGAGGTGCCCTCGGGGTGAGTGAGGGGTGGGGGGATTAGGAGAGAGAGATGCCTGGCTTTTGCTTCAGGTTGAGGGTATGAGAGCTTATAAAAAAAAAGTGCCCACTCTTTCTAGGTTACTCTCAGTTGGTCTTGTTTCCTTCCGCTTCTTTTGTTTTGTTGCCCTTTAAAGACTGTTGAAAAGCACCACTTTTGGAGAATAGGCTGTGATGTCATCCAGGCCCCTTCAACTACCCAGGGCCTTCCTCTCCATCCCTGGCCTCAGCGTTCTCACGCACAAGGCTGTCACAGGCACTTGTGGGAGACCATTGCATCTGACACCCAGGGCTCTGCAGAATTGCCTCTGGGGCTCCCTCCTGGCCAGCGCCCACCTCCTGCTCCCCCTGGGTTAGGACACAGGCAAAGGTTCACAATTAATTTTTATAAGACTTTATTTATTTTTAGAGAGAGGGGAAGGGAGGGAGAAAGAGAGGAAGAGAAACATCAGTGTGTGGTTGCCTCTCATGCTCCCCGCCCCACTGGGGACCTGGTCTGCAACCCAGGCATGTGCCCTGACTGGGGATCACACCAGTGACCCATAGATTTGCCGACACTCAATCCACTGAGCTGCACCAGCCAGGGCAGATTCACAATTCTTCTCCTTAGAGGCAAACTCCCTGCACCTGGATCTCCCTCTCCTCCCTTCTTCCTCGTAGGTGGTTGAAGACACCATTTCCCTCCCTCCCTCCTTCCTCTGTGTACCTCAGTGTTTCTGGATACCGTGGTTTTGTGGAGTCTTCACTCCAAGGAGGGACTTCACCCACATTGAAAGCCACTTCCCGTCCTCTCAGCCAGGCTTTTCCCCCACTGGTCCTCATGGATATGTGATTGCAGAGTTGTCCGGCCCCCCCCCCCCCCGCCTAAAATTCGAGTCTGTATGGCCCTGGCTGGTGTAGCTCAATAGATTAATGTGGGCTTGCAAACCAAAGGGTCACCAGTTCAATTCCCAGTCAGGGCACATGCATGGGTTGCGGGCCAGGCCCCCAATAGGGGGTGCTTGAGAGGCAACTAACTACACATTGACGTTTCTCTCCTTCTCTTTCTCCATCCTTCCCCTCTGTCTAAAAATAAAAAAAATAACATCTTAAAAAAAAGAATTTGAGTTTGTATGATTTAAGAGTTCTCTCTGCTTGTCTCGATTGTAAAGCATTTCCCACACCTGGAGAGAGGCAGGCATGTGGAGCAGGTCTAGCTTTAGGGGTGTAGCTTGTTGGTTGTAGCTCTCTATCACCTGGTTTTGGGCGGGGCAGGGAGGGTGGTGGTGGAGGGAACCAGCTGAGTTATTCCAACCCCAAAACACCAAGAAGGAGGAGGGGGAGTGCTCAGTGCCTTCCATTTGCACATGTGGAATGCACACACAGTGGGCCTTACCTCTTTCCTTTCCTCCACTTTCCTGGGCTCAACTGCTTTGGAATAACCTTGGCCTCCCTATGTGAACCCCCAGGGTGTGTTAGGGGAGATACTGTCCAGCTCCTCATTGAAACCCACTCCTCTCGCTGCACCTCTCTGCGCCCTTTCCAGCCCTCATCCACTGCATCGGCTCCTTCCCTACCCTGCTCTCCACCTCCCTCTCCTGCAGCCACGCCACTCCGTCCAGCCTCTTCCCCCCACCCTCGACTGGTCCCCCTCCCGCCCAATCTCTCTCCCACACCCAGAAGATGTCCATCTCAGGCCCCCCGTCACTCCACGTGTCCCCAGTACTGACCGAGAGCAGGCTCTGCGCACTCCTTGTGCTGCTCAGGGGTACAGAAAGGCGCGTCCCCTGCAAAGGAGAAACACAGGGAGCGGTACTCAGGCAGCAACCCCTCCCCTCCGGGGCTGTGGGAAGGGAGCGCATCTCCTTACAGGCAGGGACAACAGTCGGCCAGTGGAGAGTTGGAAGGGAGCCCTTTACCAGGGCAGCCTGGGGGCGTGGGGCGGGGGGTCCTCATCTGCTTGGTGACCTTGGGCCGGTGGTAACAGGACCTTCACAGATTGCTGTGCTGGTGATGGGTGAGAAAACCCCAATAGCTGGAAGTGGGTGGAGGTAGAAAGCACCCATTGAGCCATGGGCGGGGGTCATCACAGGGGCACCCTCTGAAGTAGGAAATACTGTATCTTGCTCTCCCAGGACACCTGAGTGGCCGTGAGGGAGCTGGGCTTTGAACCCAGGTCAGCGTGTGCCTGAGGTGGGGGCTCTTTCTACCATACCACAGTGCTGTGTGTGAGAAGGGCTGCTTTGTACGTTGCTCTTCGCTGTGCCCTGAATTCCATGTTAGTAAGTGAGAGGCCGGTCACAGTGTCGTGGGTGGAATCATGGGACTTTCCACTGCTTGCTGTTCGCTCAGGTTCCGTGAGGGAAACCTCCCTGGCAGGTGACCCAGGTCGGGCACTGGAAGGGTAACACGAACCCTTGTTCAGCTGTCATTTCTGGCATGTCTTTGTGGGAAGCAGGACCTAGTCCGTTTTCTTTTACCAAGTGCTAAAGTGAAAGTTTGCCAAGATGTCTTGTCTTTTATTTCTAAAAAATACTTTGTTTATTTATTTTCAGAGAGAGAGGAGAGGAGGGAGAAAGAAAGAAAGGGAGAGAAACATTGATGTGTGAGAGAAAAATTTTCTCAAGAGAAAATTCGATTGGTTGCCTCTCACACATGCCCCAACTGGGAGCCAACCCAGGCATGTGCCCTGAGCAGGAATCGAGTCAGTGGCCTTTCGCTTTGCCGGGAGATGCTCAACCCACCGAGCCAGGCCACTCAAGGCATAAAGTCCTTCCCTCACCACATCCCCAAACACTGTGTTTTTCAAGGGCTGAGGGGCTGTTGTGCTTCCTTCTTTCCAACAATAACAATTTAATTGATACATTTTCCTTTTGCCCTGTCTTCTAGGCAGCTCAGAGGTTATTTTAAAGATCAATAATTATAATCTTAGACTACCGAATAAATTACTGATTACTAATGAAAAACTTCAAAATTTAGCTGTGAAGATGTTCATTTCAGCATTGGTTATATCAGAAAACAATTGAGGATGAACTAAATGTTTAATATAAGGATTTTATTAAATATACTTAAATAAAACATGTTATAAACATGAGATAGTAGCTGTTAAATATGATAACAAACTTCCTGGAACGTAGTAGGTCTTCAGTCAACAAGACTTCTGGTTCTTCCCGTATGCTAACATAACCATTGACTTTTGCAGTTTACATAGCATTTTTATGTCTAGCCTAATTTTATCCTCATAACAACTAATGTTTCTGTTTTAAAGATAGTAAAGGTGAGAACAGAGAGGTTTAGAAACTTGGGCCAGGACTCACAGCAGGTGAGTGAAGGAACCTGAGCTAGAAGCCAAAGTGCCTGCCTCCAGCCCCAGTCATCCTTCCATGATGCAACACCAAACTCCTCCTGCCCCACTCAGCCCCAGCCCGTCTGCAAGGCTGCCTCTGGGAGATGGCCACATGCACTGTTAGTCTGCATGCACACATTTACTTGCTGGCTGATGGACTTTGCCTCATTTGGAAGAGTGCTGGACATTTGGATGCAAGAAGGAAAACATCTAAATGAAAGCAACAAACATCTGGATGTGTGAACATGCACCACATCAGGATGCAACAATCGCAAGCATCCAGGTATCTGGACACAGCAAACAATTGGCCAACATATTGAACATTGGGAAGAATGGTTTCCAAACATGTGGACACTTCTGGACACCAGGATGGTGTCTCGGTTGCTAGAATGGATACTTCTATGTGCCCTCTAAATGTTTGGGCACCAAATAAGAGTTTTCCCAGAATGGCACCCCTTTGGATGCTTGTGGAGTTGGCAAAGTGTTTCTCATCAGGGTGAGAAATGCAAAGAAAGTCCCAGGTAGTCCCTGGTGGGGCCCTGCAGCCACTCCTCCCCTGACACTGACCTGGCATGTGGACCATGCGGCAGTTGCAATTCTCCACGATGTAGCGGGTCTCACAGTCAATTCTACAGGCGGTGATGCTGTAAACAGGAAAGAAGTCGAGTCCCATCTCTGAGGATCGGCACTCACCCCATGGTGGGGGCAGGTATGTGAGCTGCAAGAAAGGAAGAAAGGGGCAGCAGTCAGCCTGGGAGGCTCAGCCTCGATGGATTCAGTGGCTCATTCATTCACTTGTGCAATCAACGAATAATTATTGAGCATCTACTACATGACAATCCAAACTCCATTGACCTCACATGCCTCCAACAGCTGGCTCTAACCCTAGTTTTCCTGTCTCATCTCTCAGAACCTTTCCAGAAATGCTGATCTTTGCAGAGTGTTTTACACATGCCACATGTCTTAGCACCTCCACACGTTCTCATCTCCCATCCCTTGGAAGGACCCAGTTAAGTTCCACCCTTTTTCCTTGGGACTCAGGACCTGGAGGATGAAACACTGAGGAGGACTCAGGATGAAGTGGCCTTAGGCATAAACTGTGTTATTTAGGATCCTTGGCCCTGACTAGAGCAGATCTCCAGTGTCACACTGTGCACAGACTCTCGGGAAACGTGTCACTTGTTCTCAGAGGTCTGATAACCATAAAATGTTCTAACAACTACGGTACTTGCCTGCTGGGGATGGAGAGGGTGAAGGATGCGGGAACTAATGGTTGTTGAGCACTCACTATGTGTTAAGCCCCAAGCCAAGTCCTTCATATACATTTTTTTAAAAATAAAAAATACAGTAAAATGCACACATTTTCAGTGCACAGTTTGATAAATTCTGAAAAATGTGTACACCTATGTAGCTGCCACCTCAATCAAGATATGACATTTTTTAATCCCCCTAGAAAGTTTCTTCCTGTCCCTTCCCGATCAACGCCCCACCCGCCCAGGCAATCGCCGGGAGGGGTTCTGTCACCTTTGGTTGGCTTTGCCTGTCCCCTCACTTCACACAGATGAGAACTTACACTGTGCTCTTCTGTGTCTGGCTTCTTTGGCTCAACAAAATGTCTGTTACACAAAATAAACTTCACAACAAAGATATTACATGAGATAAAAGGGGTTTTCACACTGATCACAGGATCGAGGGGATATAAAAATTCTAAAGATGTATTGCCTAATGGTTACTTTAAAAAATACAGGAACCAAAAATTGACAGAAGTAAAAGGAGAAATAGACACACCCAGAGTAGAGATGTCAACACTGCTCTCTCAGTTGATGAGTCAGGAGACAGAAGGTCAGCAACAATTTAGAAGATTTGAGCTACCCTATCAAACAACTTGACCTAATTGCCTTTTAAAAAGCACTATCCAAATAATTTTGGAATTCACATACTCTTTAGGTGTACGTAGGTCATTCGCTTTGATACACCAACTGCTGGACTGTGAAACAAATCCCAATAAATAAAAAAAAACCCTGTAGGAAATATCTTTTCTGACCAAGGATAACTAAATTAGAGATCAATAAAAATAAGTAAAGAATAAGACAAGTTAGCAAAATTAGAAAAGAAAGAATATCTCTCCTTATCCCATAGACATTTAAAAATAACAGGAGACTATTACATACAACTTCATGTTAGTACATTAAGGAACTTGGAGGAAATGGACAATTTCCTTGAAAAAAAAACACGGAACTTGCACAAGAAATAGAAAAGCATAAATCTTATGCTCACTGTTTATCTTTTCCCATTCTTTCTTTCTTTGTTCTTTTACATTTAATCTATCAGAATATTTATGATTGAGGTAATCTCTTGGAAACAACTGATTTTAGTATTGCTGTTTTATTCCATCTGAAAAGATTGGAGGGTTTAGTCCACTTAACATTTAATGTGGTCCTCCACACCACGGAGCGGAGGCTCCCTGTCTTGCTTTGTCTCTTATTTGTCCTCACTGCTATTTCATCTTTTGCTATCTTGTTCCTGACTCCTTTTGTATTAATTTAATATTGTTTTAATAGTTCATTTCATCTCCTCTACTGGCTTTTGGTTTACACCCATTTGTATTATCATTATTCTTGGTTGTTGCTCTGGGATTTACAATATGTGGCCTACCTTGAATTAATATTGTACCCCTTTGCATATAGCTCTAATTCCATCCCTTCCTGCTCATCATTCTTCCAGTGCTGAATTTCCCCTCGATATTGGTTCTCTTCAGGCTGAAGAACTTTTCTGACTAATTTTTGTGCTATGGGCATGTATTGTATTTTACTCTTGGTTTATTTATGGCAGATAGTCTCAGTTTTGTCTCTATTTTTGAAACGTGTTTTGAGTCTATATAGAATCCCAGGTTGTGAAGTGTTTCAGCATTTCAAAATGTCGCACTGTCTCCTGGCCTCCGTTGTTTTTTCCTGATTTTTCAACCTTTCTGGCAACCCTGACCTCCAACTTGTGGCTGTTTAACTCAGTGACAGCTGCTTGGTGCTGGAGCTCCCCCCCACAACCCCGTGTTCCCTTAGAACCAGACGTGGCCTGGGGGGAGAGGCCAGAAAAATAAATGTGCACCTCACCCAGAGCAGAGGCCCCCATCCTCAAGGGCTGTAACCCTCCTGTTTCTGCCTGCCTCTATATCATCAAAGAGTAGTTTTAAAATATTCTGCGTAATTACTGTTTCCAGGAGACTTTGTCTGATAAAAGCTATTCCTCCATTACTGAGAACTCAGATTCTCCATGCTTCTTTTATTTAACACTCACAGGACTCCTCTGAGGGAGATGTTCCTGTTCTCACTTTATGAATGAGGAACCTGAGTATTGGAAAGATTAGGCCATCTGTTCGAGATCACACGCCTGGCCAGTGGCAGAGCCAGCACGCGGTCCTGGGAATTTCTGACTCGAACCTCGTGTCAGTCACACTCTCCGGCATCGTCACTACAGGGAGTTGAGGGGAGAGAGGGGGAATCACACCAGGGCGGGCTTTTCAGAGCTTGTCCCTTTTGTTTCTGTCTAATGGCTCCTTTCTTCTTCCCTGTTCGTGCAGTTTTGCTTTACTGTCCCATTTTTCTTTGGTGTTTGGAAGTTGACCAGACCTTTGCACAAAAGTCCTGCATGATTTGGATAGGTCACTGTTCTTTTCTAAACCTTAGTTTCCCCATCTGTAAATAGGAAGCATTAGGGGGTTGATTTTCAATCATTAGAATGGATTCAGTCTCCTACATGGCTCAGTATTGGATATACAAACACACAAACTGACTTTTGGCAAGGCTGGGGATCTGAAATGATGTATACTAACTTTGGGGGGGGTTCATTTCTTTTTCGTCTACTAAAACAGGGTCCCGCCATGGGTGGCCCGAGTAGGTAGCTGGTGAAGCTCTGTTGGGTGAGCCAAGGTCTGGTCAGGGTCACCACATTCCTTTCTTGGCAGAAGCCATGATCCAGATACCACCGCCCCCTGCTGAGGCTGGCTCCTCATTCATTCCACCAGCGTTTCTGAGGCCTCACACGCCACAGCAGCTGGAAAATCAAAGCGTGTACAGTATCAACGCCTGCTTACCAGTGAGTGTCTAAAAGTAGGTTGGAGTATTGGTTTATCCTGGGCAGCAGTGCCCTTGGGGGACCCTGAAGCACTGTCTTCAAATATCTGAAGGGCTGTCTCGGGGAAAACGGATTAGATTTGTTTTCAGGCATCTCCAGGGAAAGACCGACACCAGAACAGTTTGTAAAAGGGGTAGTGGAGACTGTGATAGCAGTTACTGATGTTGCAGGCACCGGGGTAGGCACGTTACACGCATCACCTTCTTTAATCTTAAACAATTTTTTAATGTATTGATTTGAGAGAGAGAGAGAGATCAGTTTGTTGTTCCACTTATTTATGCATCCATTTGTTGATTCTTGTATGTGCCCTGACAGGCGATCGAACCCATCCCCATCATGAGGGGTGTTCAAGGAGAAGCTACCCAGCTACCTGGCTGGGGTGCAAAAGAGAGATTCAGACAATGAATATGTAGTGAATGGGGTGACTTTTAAAGTCTCTTAAGTCCCTATGTTTAATCATGGACTCTAAATATATTATTGCGATTTAAGAACCAGAAGCAGTGCAGTGAGACAGACAGAGCCTTGATCCCACTCTTTCATGGGCTGGTCGTGTGGCGTGGGGCAGACTTCCCAGCCCCCATCCCCAGCACTCAGTCTCCTCTGGTTAAATAAGTGCCCAGAAGCTGGTAGGTGCTCACCAAGCCTTGGCTCCCATCCCGTCCCCTAAGAAACTCTTTCATGTTTTCCCATCCTTTCATTTATTTAGCAAATAATCTAGCTCCACCTCTGCTCGCCTTACAATTTGATTCTACAGCCAGCAAATCTCCCTTTTCTGGTATCACATTACTTTGAGTTGGGTTTATTGGGATCAGGCTCCTGCCAGTGAAGACGTCCAGGTCAGAACGACACCAGGCAGCTGGATCTCGGAGTCTGAGCTGAGAGAGAGGTCTGGGTCGGAGATGGAAAGTGGGAGGCTTTGGTGTGTAATGAAGCTGTGGGGGCGGGGTGGGGGGCAGCCCAGGGAGAGAGGAGAACCACCCAGGATTGAGCCTTCACATACATGTTCCTGCATTTACTTGACTGCTTGTCCTCCCTTCTGCGTTTTTCTCCCTGTGCTGTGGGACAGGTGGCTTGGGATAGTTGCTTAAACTTTCGAACTGAGCAAAGAACTCAGAACTTTTGTGAGTGAATATTGGGGTGCTTGCTTTTCTTGCTCCACTCAGTGCCTTGAGGCTTCTCTTTACAGCCTTTTTATTTTGTCGCTAAGAGCTTGTGTTTGCTCCTCCCTGCCCTGGGGACGTCCTGTGTTGGTCCTCAGCCACTAGTTCCCCCAGCCCATCCCAGCTCACAGAGCCCGAGGCAGGGCAGCAGGTGGCGCTGCAGGTAGCAGAGCAGCTTAAGGCCTGTCTGCAGTCTGAGTGATCCAAGGGTGTAGGACATTCTCGCAGGACCTTGCCAAGCTCACTTGGCCTTTTCCTGTGTCTGCAGCCTGTGCCTGTGGCCTTGGCTGGGATGTCACTGTGGAGGGGGGACAGGGGTGTCCTGAAAGGATGATGAAACTTCACAAGAATATATTCATTCTGCTCCTGGAAAGGGTAGGAAAGGCAAGAGGAGAGAGAAAGCAGGAGGGAGACAAGGAGAGAGACC